CATTCTGGTCGGCGGACTCGGTTTGGCCATGCTGGTGGCCTTGATAGAGTTCTGTTACAAGTCCCGAGCCGAGGCGAAACGAATGAAGGTGGCAAAGAATGCACAGAATATTAACCCAACTTCCTCGCAGAATTCACAGAATTTTGCAACTTATAAGGAAGGTTACAACGTATATGGGATCGAAAGTGTAAAAATTTAGGGGGTAGGGAACGAGGTTTTAATAAATTCCCCCCAAATGCACGCTTTTTTGGCTCATCCGTTCCATCCTTGAGTGTTAGTGAGTGACGAGGTTGGCCAAAGGATCGTATGTATTGGTGACTTATGATTTTAATGAGAGAGAGAGATACTCCCCCTTTTTACTAGCATAAAATTATGTTTGTTAATTTATGTTCTCTTCCTCTTTGAAACCATTTTCATGTATGACTGTTGATGGCCATGCTTGTTAATACCTCTGTCCTAGTAACATATTTCCACAATAATGCTTGCAATGACCATTCAGAAACCTTAACATGATCATTTTCATCTCGCATTGTTTTACTCACAGACGTCTCATTACGCTCTCATCTACATTCTCATATTTGTGTTTCAATAATCTTTTAAGTATTTTTGATGTCAGACGCAGCTGTCTAACATGTTGCTTTCTTGTTTGTGTGTGGATCCTTTTCTGTGTGCGTGTGTGTGATGATTGCGCTGGCTTGTGTCTGGATGTGCATGTGGCTTGTATGCTTTTGTAGGTGACCTTTGGGGATGCCATGAGGAATAAAGCAAGACTTTCCGTTACAGGGAGTACTGGGGAGAATGGTCGGGTGATGACTCCAGAGTTTCCCAAAGCTGTCCACGCAGTCCCGTATGTGAGACCTGACATGGGGCTAAACGTCAGCCTGACAGATCTATCCTGATCACTGAGAAACTCCTGAGTGCCTTACAATGGTTTTGATAGAGGGATCGTTTTTGTTTCATATCCTCCCTCCTTTGAGTTCACTATTTGTTTTTTTTGTCTTGTGAAAAAGTAAAGGTCTGGATAGAGGTTTCTTTTTCTCTATCAAAGACTTATACTGCGCTCTCTATCTACATTTTCCATGAAACGCTTTCTTTGAAGGGTTACATTTTATTTAAAATATAAAGAGGTGGCTTTTGTTTTCTAAACTTGTGATATCATGCTTTTCTACCTGCTTGAACTGGACTGAGTCAGAAGCAAGGGCTTGATTTACGGCTGCAGTTTGCCCCGCTGTGTTTGTGTACCTGTGTGGTGTGCATGAGTGTGTGCAACAGAGAGGGTGTGTGTGTGTGTGTGGGTGTGTGTGTGTGTGTGTGTGTGAGAGTGAAAGGGGAAAATAAAAAATAAAATAAAAACTGTTTCTGTAGTCCCCCACCACCAAACTGGATTTTCAAGCACACTTTATATCATCTCCATTAAGCTGTGTAATGGTGTTTTTTTTGTTTCTCTATTTGATTGTTTTTGTTTGTTTTTTTTTTTTGTTCTTTTTGTAAGAAAAGAAAAAAAAAAGAGAAAAAAATGTTTTTATGTATTTTCACAGAATAGCTTTTAAAGAAACCTGGGAGCATACTGGTTGGATATAACCACTTAACATGTGAGTTCAGAGAAAGTAAAAAGTACTTAACAGCTTCTAGTTCCATATTTTGAAAGCCAAATACATTGAGAAATAGAGAGTGAGATCTTAAAGTCATGTAATTAATTCTTAATTAAAAAAAACTTTCCTGTATATTTTATTCTTTAACATTAGGTGTTGATATGATCTTTAAGTCAATGCTTGATATTTGGAAATAATCCTTCTTGGCTTTTTATTGTTGGAGTTGCTGCAGCAATTTACCTTCATTCTTTGTCTCTGTTTGCTTCAGTGCTTTTGCTACTTGTGTTTTTTTCTGATGAGGACAACGGTTACCACTCTGTTTTTCAAGAAAAAAACTAATGTGTTTACATGCCATGAATGGAAACCACTGAACAGTATGTTAGAGCATTTTAGCATTACATTTGGAATATAAATCATGAGGCATCAACATTCATATGGCTTAGATGATGGTTCAAAATGCCAAATAAGTAAGAGTGCCAAATTCTAGTGCCAGTAGAAATAACATAGTTTTATTATAACAAATAACTGTCATCTCAGTGAATGTAAATGACTCTGATACATTCTACAGTATAACTTTTGTGTACAGTTGATGGCAATGACAATGCTAATAACAATAGCCTTTTCGCTTTGTTTTCCTGTCTCCATATATTTTGCATTGAGCTGACAATGAAGTAGCACCAGTTGCATGTTGTTGCCGCATATACTACATATGTTTGTTTCATTACTGCCAAGCATCCGTTTTCATTTTAATGTTATGATTGTGAGGTTAACTGTTTGAAATTGGAACTATAATGTAAGACATACAGTATATATATAAATATATATATATATATATAGATATACACAAAATATATATGCATAAAACATATATTTTATATAAAATGTTAAAACATTCGAATATTATACCCTGTTACAAAAGCTACTCTACTTCCATGAAATGTTAAATTAATGGTTAGTATTATCAAAAATGTTTTATTTCTTTTTACATTCTGTTTTGCACAATTTTTAAGATGAGCACATTTCTCTTTAATTCTCTATTCAAAATTCAACCTAAACTGTACTTTTTTTAATGTGGTTTCTTGAAATCAACATTTGACTCATAAACCATAGTTGCTAATCAGTTTGTTACATATTCAGGCTTATCACTGACATTTTGTATATGGAATGTGTGCTAACTTCTTTATTTTTTGGAACTATTTCTAAATAAAAGTTGCTGATTTCTTGTTACTCTCATGGTATCATTTATTAAGAATAACATAATGTCAACCCTATGGTACAGAGCCTTCCAGCAACATGGTATCCAGTCAGTTAGTTTGTTCAAATCACATTTTGTCTGCTATAGGTGATTCCAATTAAAATGTGTCAATTTGCAATACGTCTTTAAGAGTTTTTGCGACATGAATTTTAATCAGTATGCCTTACAGCTAGTGTTGGGATTGTTATTTTAAAAAGTTATAGTTACTAGTTATATATACAAAAAAAAAAAAATGAAAGCATGGAAGTGAAAAATAATGCTTGTCAAGCGATTTACAAATGATATAAATACTTTGCAATAGAATTAATAGGGTTTACACCATTCCAGAAAAAGTGAAAAGCACAGAAAGTTAAGAGTGACTCCTGCAGACAGCTATCATTAAGTGTTGAGATGGATTAGCTCCTTTAGATTAGAGCTTCTAGCTGATCCGTAAAAGTCTTTGTTCCTGCACATAAAGAGCAAATTGCTTAAAGGTTTAGTCTTTGACTTCAGCAAAAGGTTTTCTTTAGGGACACTGTCACTGAATCTGTGATTCAGTGTCATCGTCTTTCCTTTCAATCGGTGTTCAAGGTACAGTGTATGCTGATCCCAGCTAATCTCAGCAAATCAGCATCACGCATGTGTATCCCAGTTCTTTGCTCCTCTCTGCCTTAAAAACGCCCCTCTGCAGGCAGCAGGGAGACCATGGGTGTGTTCGATTTCAGTGGCTGGGTCATCCAAGGACGACCCGTCCTTTCGGGGGTTTATAAGGAGACCTTATGAGTTTGGCTATGGAGATCCTCCAGCCTTTTCTGTTTGTCTATCACCTAGCAACCCTGATAGTTTACACACAAAGCAGGCAAAGAATGAATGCCGAACCTCTCACTACTGTTCCATGTGCTAATTACATTGTTTAAGAACTTCAGTGGCAGTACAGCCATTGCGCATATCAGATTGCAGTCCCTACACTGAAGAGATATTGGAATCTTTGCTAAAATGTCAGCCAAACCCATTTTTACATGGACAGGTATAACATCTTAACAAACCAAACATTACCCACTGCATATCTGACTCACTCACCATGTAAACAACTATTTAAATTAATTTCAGACAGTACTATTCACATATTTATATTATATTAAACTGCACTTACTGTACAATATTTGCCACTGTTCTGCATCATTTAAATTTTTCCTCTGAGCATGGAGCAGCCGTCTTCCGTGGACTCACAATGAATCATGGGATACCCAAAGCTACAGATGATATGTCCTTTAAAATGTGCAAAAAGAAGGCTGCATATGTCGAACGTCATCCTTTTCGAACAGGCCACGGTGCTACACTATGACTATTCCAAAAACTACATCAAAAGTCTACTAAAAAGTACGTCCATGTGCAGCACATTTTTGTTGAGTGTTCGTCACTAAAGAATTCCATTATATAGGAGGAATGCAATTAGTACCAACTCACAGCTCGTCCCGCAAGTCAGTGGTATATGAGCAATCTGAAATGAACTCAATTCATCCATCCATCTTCTAACACACTTAATCCCAAGTGGGGTGGGCGAGGGGTGCTGGTGCCTATCTCCAGCTGTCTACAGGCGAGAGGAGGGATACACCCTGGACAGGTCGCCAATCCATCACAGGGAAACAGAGAGACACAAAGGAAAAACAACCTTTCACACATGCACTCACACCTAAGGAGAATTTTAGACAAGCCAGTTAACCTAACAGTCATGTTTTTGGACTGTGGGAGGAAGCTGGAGTACCTGGAGAGAACCCACGCATGCTCAGGGAGAACATGCAAACTCCATGCGGAAAGACCCTGGGCCAGAAATCAAACCCAGAACCTTCTTGCAGCAAAGTTGCAGTGCTACCCACTGCGCCACTGAGCAGCCCCTAAACTAAATTCAATTGAAATTAATTAGTCTAACTTGGCAAGGAGATCAGACCATGGCACTGCTTAGATGTTACATTTACATTAAACTTTACATTTCATTTGGAAATGAAGGTCCCAGAGTCTGGGTCCTGTATAAGGAGCCTATTCATCCCCTGGGCAACTATGCTTTATTTTTTCCACATTAATGCTTATTTCTGTTGACAGGTTTTATGGAGATGCTGATTTAATTTTCCATTTGCCAAAAGGTTGCTATGATGTCCATGGCCAGTTTGATGGAAGAAATGCAGAGATCCAGTGGGTTCAAAGTTTTCAAGAGAGCAATGAAAGAACACAGAGCCAAACATGGAAATAAGCTGACTACCATTATTAAAACAAGTATCACTTCTTTAAACCTGCACACTTTGTTCTTCCACTAAATCTTCCTTAATTACGTTTGGATGCAGAACACTGTGTAAAACCAACTACATTTACCTGTTGTGACAAGTGCCAATGACTTCTAGAAGGTTCTCATGTTAGTTGCTTCTCGATTAGTGTAAAGGTCATAACATCTGCACTTTTAAAGTTTAGATTAGTCTCACATAATCACATCTTAGGAAAAAAAAATTGGTAAGCCAGATTTACTAATGTCAAGGTAAATGACCTGTATATATATATATATAGAACTTATTAAACTGAGGGGAACACTGATGGTTGTAAGCTACATTGTACAAACAGCTTCACAGGGGCAGATTGGCAGGAGTTGGACCTGGCATGCATGCGACTTTGGCACTCTGACCAGCATCAGTAGGCAATGCAAGTGAGGTGTCTTGCCAAAGTAAACCACGACTGAGAAAGATGGAGCTGGGGTTCAAACCGGTGACACTCCGGTTTCGGGATGAACTTCAGGATCGTACACCACTGTCACCACACCCAATATATAAACACTTGAAATATATCACTGAGTTTGCACTGAATCTATTAGATATATGAGCTCCTTGTTTTTTGTTTGTGATTACTGGAACATTTGGAAGAAATGAGCCTAATACTAGAGAAGTGGCTCTAACAGATTCCCAAAGAAGTGCAGAAAGTAAGGAACAGCAAAGACCACCTCTAAAACTTAAAATGAATATTATTTCAGTTATAAAGAAATATGCCTTCAAAATCTTATTTTTTAGGTTAAATGTAACTCATGCTGATTGAAAGCCTGTCGTGAGCTTCATGTTTCAAGAATGCGTCATCAGACAATCTCTTTCTGCTATGAATTAATGACTGTCTCCAAAATGGTGGTTGACATCTTTCTGCACCAGCAGAATAATCGAGATTTGAGCATTGAATATCTGTTCCTATTCAGATTTTCTTTCATAATAATGTTTTCATTGTAAAGCATGTTAAAGAGCCTTGCAAAAATAAATATACATCTTAAACTTTTGCACATGTTTCTAGGTTGCAACCAACACAATTTGTTTGAGATGGATGGGTACATGACAGACCACATATAAGGAAAACCTAATTGCAAAATGGAGGTTAACTCATACATGTTATCCTACCTCTTCTCTAATGCAAGCTCCTGTGTCAACATTAAGGATTGTTTCCACATCAAAGGCTCTTTAATCAGAAGAAATCAGAATCACGTTTAGTGGCAAGTAGGTTTGCATTTACAATGAATTTGACTTGGTGTTGATGGGGTGAACTGCAAGACTTATTTGTGGGTCAAATTTTTTTCTGTATATCTATTGACTCTAAATATCTAATATGTCTTCTTTAATCTGATGCACTCAGCTGATTAGATGCTCTTATGATTCAATGCATGAAAATCAAGCTTTCTCTGTTCTAAGTCCAAAACTGTGAAATGACTACTTGTCAGGCAGGCTTCATCTCATGCAATTTTAAAGTCTTGTTTTATTCTATGGCCTTTGACCATGTATTATTTGAGTATTTTGATTGTTTCTTTTATTACCTTTGCCGTTATATTTATTTTATGGTTGGACTCTTTATATATTTGGTTTTTTTTATTAGTCAGCACTTTGGTTGAACTAGTTGGATCTGTTGAAAGTGGACCATATGAACCAAATTACAAGGTTTTCATTATACAATTTATATAGCTCATCTGCATATTTAATGGTATATCTGTTTAGTTATTCAGTTATTGTTCAAATCTTGACATTTATGTGTATACATATTTGTCAAACACAGCATATGTCCACAAGCAATCTGATCCAAAGGCTGCTTTATCGAGCAGCAGAGGTGGGTGAACAAGAGGCATAAATGAGACCCTAAACAATGCTAATGGATGTTACAGAGAGAACATCTGTAAGCTTAATGCCTATACCAATTACTTTAAATATTAAGATTAACAAAAATAAAACTAGAAGAAAAAGCATTTGATCAGAACCATACCTTAAAAGTTTCTGCCATTCCTACTACTTATGAACCAAGTAAAAAAATTTATTACATTTTTTTATCAGGGAAAAATATAAATATACTTTCGTCTTTTAACAATACAACAGAACTTTCACACTGATTGTACAATGAGTTTAGAATTATTTTATAGGATTCTTTGTATATAAAATTATTTCTATAAAAAATAATATTAAATAATTGACTGGTTTATCTCTGGAAGGTGAGACAGCATCGGATGTAACTGAAGAAGATGAAACGTGTTTAAACAGTTTTGATCCAGTTGAGCTTTTAGAGTTAGCAAAAATATCATCTCCATCAACCTATATGTTAGATCCATTTCCTACCAAGTTATTTAAGGAAGTATTCCCTCAGATTAATCCATCCATCTTAAGGGGATAT